TGATCCTCCTGCTTCAGCCTTCCAAGTACTGGGCTGACAGGTGTGCCCCTCCAGGCCCAGCTCCCCATGAAGTGTTAATATCTGTGTGAGCCGTGTGGACAGAACTGGTTCTCTAGCACTATTGTGGCTTCCAGCAGCAAGGCAAAGTGCAAGAAAGAAAAAAATGTGTAGGAACTCATTTTTTTTTTTTTTTTGCCTAAACAATACAGTGTAGGGCCAGGGATCTAGCTGAGTGGCATAAGCACCTGCCTGGCAAGTGCAAGGTCGTGAGTTCAGTCCCCGGTACCAAAACAACCAAATAGACCACACTTCAGTGTAATAATATGTACACAGTGTGGGTATCATGGGAGGTGTTTTAAGTCACCTAGAGGTGACCCTAGGCAGCAGGCGATAGGCATGAGCTCTATACAAACACTGTGCCGTCTTCTGTAAGAAGCTGAGAACTCAAGCACGATGGCACAGGCCTGTCACCCCAGCACTCAGGAGGCTGAGGCAGGAGGGTTGCCACAAGTTCAAGGCCAGACCCTAACCTGCCCTCAAAAACAAACACAAAACAGGAGAAGAAGGAAAGAACTTGAGCATTCACAGGTTCTGCTCTGTGGAGTCCCAGAATAAATTTCTGGGCTGTGAATCAAGAAACGGCTATATATCTGCCTTTTATACACCAGCTCTAGGTGTGGGAATGCAGCCTATGAGGGGCCCTCGGCTTGACCCTCAGAAAAGGAAAGAAAGTTTGCTTTTTGTCTTTTGAGGAGGGTCACCCTGTGAGGTCCAGGCTGGCTGTGAGCTCACTTTTCAGCCCAGGCTGGTCTCGAACTCGCAGTGATCCTCCTGCCTCAGCCTCCTGAGTGCTGGGCTGACAGGCACGAGCCATCACACCAGGTTTGTTTTAGTTTTTGAGACAAGGTCTCATCGTGTAGCCCAAGCGGGCTTTGAACTTGGGACCCTCCTGCTCAGCCTCCCGCCTGCTCTTGTGTACTGCACACCCTTCTTTCTCTTTCTTTTTTTAAGTACACCTTCAGCCCCGTCCGTCCCTCGGCCCCTTGCCTTCCACACCTCTGGGGTTGTCATCACTGGTGCTGGAAGCTGCACCGAGCGCTGTGTGGCAACACAGCCAAAGGCCTGGACTCTGTCACCCACTAGACGTCAGTAGCAGCCTTCACCACGACACTCAAATGTCTCCAGCCATTGCCACAGCCCCCGTGTGAGGTTCAACCAGGGTCCCACTAGGAGCCACACCCTGCCCACCAGGACCCCACAGTTCTTGTCCTGGTGTCCTTGTCCCCTGTGTGGCTGAGCCTCCTCTACCCTGGCTGTCCCTCTATTGTTCAATGCAGATCAGCTGTGGGCCACGGGCCCATTTCAGAGATGGAGAAACTGAGGTCCAGACAAGGGCCAGAGCTTAGGCGGGCCATCCATCCTGAGGGAGTAGAACTTGGTCAGAGACTTCTGGAATTTTAGCCCCGAGGCTACACAGGCCTTTTGTGTAAAGCTTCCTTCCAGCCCATGACCTTTGTCCTTTCCTTAGGAAGCCAGCCCCGGCCCCTGACCTCTGAGCTCCCCATTACTTCCCCACCTCAGTTCCTTCCACTCATCCCTCACTTCCTCTGTGCCCATGTCTCCGGTTTCTACTGCAGGACCTTTGCACCAGCTGCTGTCTCTCTAGCTAGCACCCTCTTCCACTGGATCTGCACAGAGTATCCTCCCTCCGTTTATTTAGGTCTCTGCTCAAATGTCACCTCCTCAGAGAGGCCTTGCCTGACCTCAGGCTCCCTCTGTTCCTCACAGCCCACATGTCACCATCTATAATTACCGGGTGGCTTTATCTTCGTTGCTATTTCTGCTTCACTCCCTAGTCTTCGAGTCCCAGCGGCTGGGCCAGGTCTATCAAATTCTGAGCCACCGTCGGTCTCAGCGTGCGTCCACAGAATGAATGGGCAGGTGAGGCAACTGACGCTCTGGCACCGTAGAGCAAAAAAAGGGGCCGGGAATGGACATAACTGCCCCTCAAATCCCATCCTCGCCTGTCAGCCCAGCACTCGGGAGGCTGAGGCAGGAGGGTCGCTGCCAGTTCGCGGCCTAGGCCACCATCCTCAGTACTGTTTTTAATCTTAATTCTGCTCTTCCTGGCCGTGTGACCTTGCACACGTCCCTTCGCCTCTGTCGGCTGAGTAGGAGTCCCGCCACAGGGACTTTTGCAAAGTGAAGCGTGGGCGCGAACACGCGCGGGCGGACGTGAACTTCTCACACGCAACTTCCCGGCCCAGCTCCTCCGCGTCTGCCAGGCGGCGACCGCCTCGGGGTGGAGGCTGAGGGCGGCGATCGATCGGTCTCACCCTGCAAATAGTAACCCCGCGTGCGGGACAGCGGCGCAGGGTCGGGCCGGGGCGCGAGTGGGCTGTCACTTCCTCTCCCCCAGCAGGGGGCGCGCGCGAGACCCCTCGCTCCCCCGGGCTGGGAGCCACGCGGGGGCCAGGGCTGGGTGAGGACCCGAAGGAGGACAGAGGCCACTTCCAGCCGCTCCGGGGGCATCGCCCCGCGATGCGAGGGTTTGGGGACCCACGCAGAGGGGAAGGCGTGCGCGGGGCCCGCCCGCAGCCCAGCAGCCCTGTCCCCCCCTCCTGGCCCTCCTCTGCCATCTGCTGCTTGACAGATCGTGGGGCGCCGTGACTCAGCCCGCGGGGCACGCCGGGGCTGCGCCCTCCTGCACCCCCAGGTCGCCTCGGGGTGCAAATGTCATCCTGGGTGGGAGCGGGGTGGTGTTGCCTCTCCAGGGGTCCCCACAGCTCACTGACCAGACGATCTTCCTGGTGTGGATGGACCCCAAGATGGAGAAGTATGGGTCTCTGGAGAAGGCCCTCCGGGTCCTCCAGTTCCTACTCAGGAGGCAGGGACAGGCCCTGGGCCCACAGCCCACACAGTCCTGGGGAGAAGCAGAGCCCCCAGACGTGGCAGAGGCTCCTGCCGTTAATTCCCACTCGGGAGCAGCCCTGTCTGCCGGCGTCCTGCGAGATAATCTACTGGACGCTTGCCAGCTTAAATCCACACAAATCCCAGCTCGTAGCGCTCTCAAACTGACCAGCAGACCCATGGCAACCTGTGCTCTACTTTCTTTCAAGGAAACTGAGGCCCTGAGAGGTTAGAGTGCTTCGGAAAAGACACAGAAAACACACACAGGCACCAGGCAGACCTGACCTGGAATCTCGGCTCTGCTGTTTCAGGCTGTTTGAGTGTGTGTGTGTGTGTGTGTGTGTGTGTGTGTGTGTGTGTGTGCCTCTCTGGGCCTCAGTTGCTTCATCTGTCTGACCAGGACACCTTCCAGACTATCTGCCATAAGTCCCTGACATGGAGCCTGCGTAAAGCCATTAGGAGACAGATGTCACTGAAAGAACTGTGCTTATCGTCACTCAGCCCCTGTCCCTCAAAAGGCCCTGCTGTGGCGACCAGGGTAGAGGAAATCCCTAGGGCCTTAAAAGGGAACGGAGCTGGCTGCACCCCCCCACCCTGGTCTCCCAGGACAGTGACTCCGCTAGAGCTCCTCTGGCCGCCCGCCCCAGGTCCTGGCATTTCCTGTTGATTTTAGCTTTGTTTTCCTTTGGCTCCTCTCTGGTTCTCCTGGAAAATATCAGACTGTCTGTGTTGGGTCGGTGTCACTTGTTTGGTGGGGCTTAGGGTACAGGGATGCTGGGGCAGGGTTGGGAGTCCCCAGAACAGAAGCAGAGGTGGCTGGTGGAGGTCCCGAGAGGGACCTAGGAAAAAAAACTTCACGGCCGGCCTCTGATCCCACGTGGGATCTCCCAAACCTGAGCAACCTAGTGACGCCCCAAACAGCAGGTGGGTATGGGTGAATGAAGGTGTCAAGTCACCCTGTCACTGGGATGCACACAGACCCCAGGGCACCACAGGCCAGAAACAATCACTAAGAATGCCCCGTGGCGACACCAGTGTTTAGGGCATCTCAGGTGAGCCGCAGGGACAGTCCCTACATCAGGGCCCCGACTTTCAGACACCTGCACTGGCCAGATGAAAGTGCGGCCACTGTCTCACAGAGTCCCGGGCACCAGGGAAAGTTCCAGGAACATCACCACACCGTCCCCAGGAAGACACAAGGCCATGCAGAGATCCCCGCATTCACGGGTACTCACAATCATGCCCTGGAGGCACACCCTGTCACACTGTCCCAGAAGCAGACAGTCTCCCTGAGAAAGCACTGTGTTCCTGGAACACACTACGGCTGTCATAATCACCATGTCCCATGAGGACAGGCAGTCACCGCACGGTGGAGCAGACCTGTGTCACAACCACAGCAGTCTACAAGCACAAAGGGACTGTCACCATCATGGGGCCCCAGCACCCCCGGCAGAACACACTGCCAAGGTAGTGGCCGCTGGTCACACAGCAACGGGGCAAACTGAGGTCAGTTGCAGGATATCCTCAGAGCGACCCCGACTCAGCACCGCTCCCCAAGACACTGGCCCTGAGGAAGCAGGGACTCAATGACCCCGCGCTGGGGCTGTGCACCCCTGGCACTGTCCGCTGCTTCTGGCAGCTATGGAACCCCGCTCCTGCCCTGACAGCTCCATCCTAAAAAACAGGCAACCGAAACCGTATCCCGGAGCTGCCCCTCCAGGCCCCTCTTGCTGCAGGGCAAGTCACCAATGGCCTCACACTCCTCCACCCCCCGGAAGGACCCTGAGTGTCTAACCACTGCCCTGTACCATCACCATGCAGCTCCCCCTAAAGCTGCTGCCTCTTCCCCAGCCCAGACCTTGTCCTCCCACGCAGCGCCCCTAGTGCGACCACAGCGCTGGCTTTAGCAGTTGCACAGGTAGAGACCCCTGTCCTGCCCGCTACGCCCCCACAGCTGAACTCCATCTCTCCGCCCCCGCCAGCCACACCGGCCCCACCCGCGTCACAGCGCCCCCTGCGGTCGGCGGGACGCTCTGCGCCCTCCCTGCGCGCCCCGGCGCCCCGCGCGCATCCGCCGCCCGGATTCTCACCGCCTGCCGCTGCCTCCGCCCGCGCTGCCGCTGCTTGTGCTGGTGCCATGGAAGGACGAAGGCCAGGACATGCGGGTCGTGCGCAGGCCGGGCCGGTCGCTGGTGTCCACGGCGTCAGCGCGTTCTATGGGCCGGTGTGGCGGCCGCTCGGGCTCCGAGCGCTCCGCGCTGTCGGAGTAGCCGCGCTGCTGGATACGGATCGGGGTCCGCGGCTGCCGCCACAGGTGCTGAGGGGGCGGCTTGAGGGTGGCCTGGCCCTCCCGGGGCCCGGGCAGAGATAGAGACAGGCTCCTCTCCGAGGTGGCGGCCGGGGGCTCCATGTCGCCGGCCCCCCAACCTGCGCCCCGGAGGGGGCCCCGGCCTTTACAGGCTGCACCCCACTCAGCTGCGCGCCAGCCGACGCGCCCGGAGCCCCGCAGGTGCGCCCGGCCTCAGTGGGGCCATGGCGCCCCGGGGACAGACCCGGGGGCGCTGCGGGCCGATCGCCCCCGGGCCGGGCGCCGTGGCTTCCTGTGTGCTGCTGGTGCTCGGCTCCGAGCCCGGCTGCGCTCTCTGCGTTCGGCGCCAGCCCCGACTCCCCCGCCCCGTCCCACCCCTCCCTGCCCCCCGCCCGCCGCGGCTGTCAGCACCGCCCCTCTCCTCCTCCGTCCGGGCCAGTGGGGGGCAGCCACCCAAGGAGGGGGGCCCTCCCCACCCACGCAGAGCCCTGCTCCTGACGGGGAGGGGGCGCCAGCACTGAGCTCTCTCCGGAGCGCCCAGCCTCACAGCGGCGCGCACGGGCGCGAAGGAGTTAAAGGGTTAATCGGATCGGCCAGAAGACGCCGGACTGGTTGCCGGCGCGTTAGTCAGTCTGTCCATCACGGCGGAGGCGGAGCTGGCTGCTGGCGTGTCCTCGCCGATACCCCGCGCTCGGGGGAAGCGCCTGGGGAAGGGTCCCGGTGCCACGCGCGCTTGGTGGCTGCGGCAGGCAGTGGCGGGCTGCCGGGGATCGCCGGGCTGCGGGGCGGAGGCTGGTGACGGAGCGCGGCCGGGGCGGGCTGTGCGCGCACGTGGCCCCTTCCGAGGGCTGGCCGTGTTTTCGGCGTGAGCTGGAAGTGTGTGTGCGCACGTGGTTGGCTGCTCCCGTCTGCCCGTTTCTGGGTGTTGTGCCGTGTGTGGGGCTCGGTGTGTCTGGCTGAAGGCTGTGCGCGCACGTGCTCTGCCTATCTGGAGGGCGTGTGCATCGCCGGGGTCGGGGCTGCTGCTCGGGGGGGCTGCGCTCTGGGTTCCCACGCGCGTGGCTGTGCGTTGTGTTCGGAGCGTGCTTGCAGGGCCGTGCACGCGATTCGGCCTCCGTCGCCTGGCTGCGCTGTCAGAGGAGCTCTGTGTGTCCCGGGGCCTCTTCGGGGTGTCTCTGGGGTGTGTCGCTTTAATGTGGCAGTAGGACTCCCTGTAGCGGATACTGTGACTGTCCTCCGCCCACTGCTCTATATATCGCTGTCTCTTAATGCGCATCCAGGGGTAAACTGAGGCAGGCCCCGGTGGCCATGGGGCACACCACCATGCCCTTTTCAGGCGAGTAAACAGCCGAGCCTCCTTCCCGTGGCTCCCGCCGGCAGAACCCCCCTTCCGGCACCTAAATCGGGAGTCGCCGTGACTCACGCTCCCGCCTCCCCCAGCGCCGCGCCGAGCAAAAAGCGAATGGGATCGAGCGCACCCCCATCCCCCCAGGCCGCGGCGGGCTGCAGGGTAGGGGTGCTCCTGCGCCCCCATGAGCCCCAAACCGATCTCTGCTCAGATCCCAAATCGTTCAGGTCCGCGCTCGCTCCGTGAGCCAGCACCGCACCCTCGTGCGCCCCCTCTCCGGGTTCCTGGGGACAGGCCCTGCCGTCTGCCACTGCCCCCCCCCCCGCGCTGTTCTCTATTAAAACAAAAAACAAAAACAACCTTCCCGCTTCCAGCCTCCACAACCACTTTTCTCCACGCCGGAGGGGGCTCCCAACGTGGGCGAACGCAGAGCAACAACTGGGGCTCGCCATCAGCAGCCGCGGGGTACCCCAGTGGCCAAAAGTGTAGCACTCTCCCCGCCCCCGACTTCTAAGGGATCCCCAAGGCCGCGGGGCTTCACTGGGTCATATGAGGGTCCCGAGCTGAGCCGAGCTCTACAAAGCCCAGGCCTCGGCTGGAGCTCGGGCTGGGGGATGGGCATGGGGGAGGGGACTGCAGAAGAACGGGACAGGCAGAGGGCCAAGGCTGTCATTTGGAGTTAAGACCTGAGTCCCGGGGTGGATCTGGCCGGACTTCAACCAAATAGAAGCGAGAGGGCTGGGGGAAGAGTCCAGGGAGGAACCACAGTCACTTGTCCCCTCATCCGGAAGTGGGCCGTTGTGTCAGTACAAGACCTTGAGTCTCAGTTGAGTCATGTAGGGGGGGCACAGCGTGAGGGGGGCGACAGTGGGGGCCGCAGGGGGTGGTGGCCAGGAGAGAACAGAAGGGAGGGAGGCCCTGGGAGGACTCCAGATTTTTGTACAGCACCTTGCCGACCCAGGCAGCTTGGAAAAATGGGTAAAAGAGGCTCCTGGAGGGAGGCTTCAAAGGTGCCTGGGCGGGAGCGGGGTGATGTCACAGTCTCACCCAATAGAGTTCCGAGTTTCAGCTACTTTCGCAAAACAGCCCGGAGCTGTCCAGGGCTGCTGGGGCTGCTCCCTGCGGGGCTGGCCCTGTGCCTCCGCACCTTCCCAGCCTGACACCCCTCTTCCCTACCTGTCAGCTTCCGCCCTGGTGATGGAAATCCGCGGTGGGATCAGCAGCGGCAGCGTGGTGGGCCGTGGGGGCAGAGGGGCACCAGGGTCCAAGGGCTCAGGACAGGCCCAGCCCAGGCCAGGACCGGACGAGAGGCGGCGGCGAGGGCTACGCAGGTCGGCCCCCAGCATGTTGTTGCGGCCAACCTCCGGGGTCTCCCCGGGTCTCTGTGGAGGGACACGGGTGGGGTGGGGCGTAGCCTTGCCTGCAAACCTCCCCCAGGAACGCCCCCTCATAGGGCGCAGGAGCTGATGCAGGTAGGGGCTCTTCCTAGCCGCCACATCTAAGTGGCCCCCTCTTGGCCTTGCGTTAGTGGTCTCCTCCTCCCCACACATCTGAGACATTCCTGTGGCCCTCCACTCTCTGGCCCAAATCCTCAAGGCCGAGACATGAGCATCTTCTCGAGTTCGAGGCCAGTCTGAGCTAGTGAGCCCGTCACAAAATTCTAAAAGCCTTTGGCCACTTGAGAAGCCCCATAAAAGACTCTCGTGCCTGCTATCCCAAGGCTGAGAGCCTGCTGATTTGAGCTGCAGGAAAAAAGTGGAGTCAAAGGAGTAAACTGAGGCAAAAAAAAATGTTGACGTGCCTCCTGGCCGCTTTTAGGAAATAGATTTGGTCACTAGAGGGCGCTCATCTAATCCCCGCCCACTGGAGCCTAAGCTCCACCCACTGTCCACCGGCCCCACCCACTATGGTTTTGGTCCCGCCCCCAGAGCGACCCCGCACCTCGCACCTCGTCCCCGATCCCGGCCACAGACAGGCAACTGCGACTCCTCTTCATCCCGCCAACCTAGAGTGTCCGTGTGGCGGGGTCTGCGGGAGCCATGTCGCCCCAGGCCAGGGCCACCTGCAGGATCAAGCGAAGGCATCCGCCGTTAGAGGCTCCCCCTGCCGGCCAGGCCTGGAACCCGCCGCGCCCCCCGCCGCGGCCTCTCCCGGGGCGTGACGTCAGCGAGCGGCTGACGCACTGCCCGCCAATGACGTATGCGGCCGTTGCCAGGACGACCGCTGACGCACGGAGGAGCTCCGGGCGGCGTCAATGCCCGGCTCGGCCGCTGGGGGGCCGAGTCGCCCCGGCCCCCTCCTCCTCCCGGGGGCTTCCCCGCGTGGGGATCCCACGGAGGAGCCCGGGAGCTCCCCGAGCTGGCCGCGTGCTGCGCGTGGTCCGAGCCGGGGGCCGGAGGAAGCGGCTTCTCCGAGCTGTTGGGCTTTGGTGCCTACACCCGAAATAGCTCGGCTGTGCGGGGGCCGGGCGCAGAGAGACGGCAGCGGTTCTGGGCACAGATGGGGACGCGCGCAGACAGACAGGGCCGGTGGAAATAGAAACAGACAGGGACACAGACGCAGCGCGATGGGCTCGCCCTGCCGCCGCCGCCGCTCAGCTCAACGGGGGAGGGGCGGGCTGCCCACCCACCCAGCCCTGAGATCTGGGTGTGCAGCCCTGGCCACTGACTGACCAGCTCCAGGCTTCACTTTCCCCTCCCTGAAGATGGCTGTGTAGCTCTAGTGAGAACGAAATGTGGTTAACTCTGTTCAAACACGACCATGTCTGGAAATAATCAATGCTACTAACGTTGATGCCCGTCAGTGGGTGTCAATGTCACTTAGAGGAAAGCCAGTCTTCTACACTTGGCCTGTACAGCTCTGCAGGACGGGCGAGGTGCCTTGTGTTTTGTAGCTGCAGCCATCCTTGGCATTGCAGCACAGCTCAGGCGTGCTGTGGCCCCCGTGCCTTTGCACATTCTGTTCCTAACACGTGGGACTCCTTTGCCCAATCCCCACAGGCCCCTCAAACCTGCTTCTGATCTCTGCTGTATCTCTCCTCACCCTGCCCTGTCCCCTCTCATCTTTGCATGTCTGTGCATGTGCATGCCTGCGTGTGTGGGGTCCTGGAGATTAAACACAGGGCCTTTACACTGAGCTACATCCTCACCTCTTTATTAGTTTTATATTATTATTTTTGGCTTTTCCCTTTTTATCGGTTCCGGGGATCGAACTCACGACCGCCTGCTTGCAAGGCAGGCGCTTATGCCGCTGAGCTAAATCCCGAGCCCTATTTTTTTGTGTTTTGAAACAGGGTCTTGCTATGTAGTCCAGGCTGGCCTCGACCTCACAGATCCTCCTGCCTCAGCCTCCAGTGAGGCATGTGCCACCACGTATGGCTTTTAAATTTTAAAACAAACAGAAGTGGTGGTGCACCCCTGTAATATCTGCTTCACGTGATCCTCCTGCCTCAGTCTCCCCAGTAGCTGGAACAAGAGGCACACACTACTGCCCCCGCTAGAAATCGTTGCAGACCACAGCACCCCAGGGTGCTAGAGAACACCTACTTCCTCCTAATTCTGCCCTTTTCTTGTCTTATTGCAGTAGCTAGGACTTGACTTCAGCATCAAGTAGAAGTGAATCTGGGGGTGTGTGGTGAAAGGGTACCCATTCATCACCACCTCCCCGCTACAGTCTCCAAGGATGCAGCCTGTCTCAAAAGAAAACCAAAAAAGACTGGGAATGTAGCTCAGCGGTAGAGCACTTGCCTAGCACACACCAGGCCCTGGGTTCAACTTCCAGCACACCAAAAACAAAAAGAACAAGATCAAAACACAGGACCATGCCCGTCCTCCAGAATTCTGCCCACAGTCCTGCATTCAAATCCTGCCTAAATACTTCCTGGCTGCCAAACCTTGGGCAAGTTGTGCCAGACCTCAGTTTTCTCATCTGTAAGATGGGGATGGCGTTACCTACCTGCCGAGACAGCTGTGAGAATGAAGGGTGAAAGGAAGCAATGTGTGCACAGTTCTGAGCACTGTGCGCGGTTCACAGCAGGTACTTAAGAAGGGGCAGCCATCATCCTGGTAATAACGTGCTATTGTCACTGTTGGCATTGGTTTTCTCTTTGGTGTTTTGAGACAGGGTCTCACCCTGTAGTTAGGCTGGACTTGAACTCACTAAGGAGCCCAAGCTGGCCTTTAAACTTGCTGTGAGCCTCATGCCTCAGCCTCCCAAGTCCTGGGATTATAGGTGTACAGTACTATGCCTGCCTTGCTCTTACATTCATAGGGAGCTATAGACAGACTTGAGGGACAGCACATGCACAGAAGAGACCTCACCTCTTCCATCCCCCTCACCCACCCCCACACTCCTGCTATTCCTCACTTAAAGAATAATCTGACCTCGGGGCCTTTGCACATGCTCTTTCTGCCACCTGAAAAACAAGTTCAAATATCTCATGCTCCTCCTACTCCCCTGATGCTTTTGTTTCATCTATTTGCTTTAAACTTATATTCTAACACCATATATCAGTCACCCCCACTGGTTTAATAACTTTTTTGGTTTCTAGAAATAAGGTCTTGTTATGTAGTTCTGGTGGCCTAGAACTCACTAACCCAGGCTGAACTTGAACATGTGGTGAGCCTCTCGCCTCAGCTTCCCAAGGGCTGGGATTATCTGCTAGGGTTACCACGTCCAGCTGGTTTAATAATTATTCCCTGTGTCTGTTGTTGTCCTGGGGGTGGCACACCCTCCAACGAGGTAGGGGTGTTGGTTTCCTTCCCTGCTGGACCCTGGGGGACCTAGGACCACGCTGGGACAGTGGATGCTCCACCGGCAGCCTTGGATCAGTGAACAAATTTGTGCGATTGATTTCCCTTTATTTGGCCTCTGCCCAAAGTCACCCCTTCCCTGAGACAGAAACTGCCCCCAACCCCGTCACCTTCAGCCCCTTCTCCAGCCTCCCAGGGGCTGAGGTTACAGACCTGTGCCACCAGGCACCCAGCCTCGCCCTACCATTGTTTGACCATTTTGAACAGAAACTGTGACTTTGCATTTGTTTGCATTTGCCCTGGGTGTGCTTGGCTTGTTTAGTTTGCTTTCTTTTTCTTTCTGAGCCGGTCTAGCTTGGCAGTGCAGGCTGGCCTCCTGTCGGCCCTCCGCCCCAGCTTCTCCAGTGCTGGGGTTAGAGCTGTGCACAAGCACATCAGGCTGGCTTGGTTTCTTGAGATAAGAGTCTTGCTATGTAGCCCAGGCTGGCCTTGAATTTGCAGCGATCCTCCTGCCTCAGCTTCCTGCGTGGTGGGATGACAGGTGTGCACTGCCAACCCTCCGCTCCTATAAATGCTGTTGTGAGTCCCAGGTAGTTGGGATAATGATGGCAGGTGTTCCAAGATTAGGGAATAAAGGAGTGGACAGCTCAAGACCCCGAGGCTAGGGAAGAGACCCACACCCACCCGCGTGCAAATGTGTACCTTTGCGGAAACCAACCCAGGTGGAAACGCAGGCTTGGAAGACGGGGCCTCAGGAGCCGGGTACAGGGGGCAGGGAGGCAGAGGAGGCTCAGAAAGGGGGAGCTCCAGGCCCAGAGCCCAGGCAGGCCTGGGTCGGGGGAGTCCTGGGGTACACACATGGGCATATGCAGGCACACACGCACGCACAGGGATGAGGCTTCCCACATGGCTGGAAGGTGGAACTTCTTGTGATCGATTCTAAATGGGGCATTGCTGAGATCTGATCAGAGCTGCAAGAATAACTTTATGACTAAAGTGTCTAGCTGAGCTCAAACTTTCTATCCTCCTGTCTCAGCCTCCTGAGTGCAGGGATTACAGGCATGAGCTGACAGTTGTTTAACCACAGGGTCTTTGTTTTGTTTTTTGTTTTTGTCTTTTTGAGACAGGGTCTCACTATGCAGTTCTGGCTGGCCTTGAGCTCACTGTAGCCCGCTGGCCTGGAACAAGCAGTGATCCTCCTGCCTCAGCCTCCTGAGTGTTGAGTTTACAGGTATGAGCCACCATTCTCGGTTTAATTTTTTTCTTTTTTTGAGTGTGTGTGCTGAGGAGTGTCCCACACTTGCTAAGCATGCAGGCCCTTCACTAAAAGTGGCTGATATATACAGATACAGATACATGTTAATTTGCTCATGTTGTTTCTTCTGTCTCTGGCATCACATATTGGCTGTATCGGGGCGGGGCGGGGGGAGCTTTGCTTTGCCCCTGCCGGCCTCAGGCCTGGTGCACAGTACGCTCTGGATACTTGCTGAATGTACCGTCTGCACATGGGCAAGGCCCCGGCTGCGCACCTTGAGTCCCTCTTTCTTTCTGCTCTTCTTTCTTCTTTTTCTCGAGATAAGATCTTGCTATGCAGTGCAGGCTGGCCTCAAACTCATGCTCCTCTCCTGCCTCAGCCTCCTGTGTGCTGGGATCACCACTCCAGGCCGGGTTTTATCTTGTTTGTTTTTGAGATGGGATCTGGCTGTGTAGCCCAGGTTACGCTGAGACTCACGCAGACCCTTCGGCCTCAGCCTCCCAAGGGCTGTGTTTACAGGGGTGCGCCTCCACACCTGGCCGGCCCTCTCCACTTTTATAGAGAGACGACACTCGAGGACTCACTCAACTCTCACATAAAAGGGGACAGGCCTGGGCCGCTTTACGGTAAGCCTCTTCCCTGATGTCAGATTCTCTAGATCCACTTTGTCCTCTCCAAGTCTCTGGATACTTACTGAGCACCTACTGTGCTCCCGCACTGCCCTAGGCCTGAGCTCAAGGTGAAAGAAGAAGGTAGACGAGCGCCGGACATTTCGTGTACTCTGGACGCCCCGCCACTAGTCTCACGCCTGACGACAGCATTTTGCTTTCCAGTCTGCAATCACCAGGCTTGTTTTGTTTATGCGCGGATTGGCGCTCTCCCCAGCCACGCGCTGGCACCCCCTGCTGGTCTGATTGGTTACTGCAGCCCCGAGAAGTCTGGACACAGCCTGATTATGTGGTACCTGCTCGCGGCGCACACATGAAATAAGCTAAAAGCAAACAAATAAACAAATGCAGTCAGGGCAACAGTGGCCCCTCGCTGAAATCTCAATGTGTCATCACCGCTCCCGTAGCAGATGGGGAAACTGAGGCCCAGGAAGGCAAAGCTGCTTGCGGGGTGGGGGGATCCCAGCTAAATGCTGTGCAGCTGTGGGAAGCCCCAGAAGCAGTAGGAGAAGCCCCCAAAGCGTTTCCAGCCCTCCCTACCCCCCCTCACTCCGCCGGAAAGAGATGCGTAGGCATAAACTGATGGGGTTCCCAGGATGCGAGACAGGATCATGCAAAGTTCCTCAGGGACTCGACTGGCGACGCAGCACTGGCAGAGATTAGGACACGGTTGGCACGGCAGATGGAGGAAGCGTCCGGCGCCCTGACCCCAGGTCAGGGAGCTGAAACTCCGGAGACCCTATTCCGCGGGTGTCAGGCAGTTTCAATGTCCAAAAGTGGGGGAGAAACTCTCGCACTTAATAGAGACCCTCCGACATTTCAGGTGGCCACTCTACCGACCCAAGCCCAAGACAGAGGCCGAAGCCCTCAAAGTGCAAAATGGAGGGGCCCAGCTTTCCTGGGGAGCAGGGGAAGCCCCACTCCTTGATCCCCTCCCTCTTTGGTCCGGGCCCCCTCCCCACCGCAGTTCCCAGGGTAAAGCTTACCTTGCAGGGGAGGGTGGGGAGGGGGTCCCCCACCCTCTTCGGCCGGGGGTGGGGCGCAAGGGTGTCCGGACCCTTTATTTGCTGGTGTGTGCGCGTGCGTGTGTGAATGAATGTGTGTGCGCGCGATTGTGAGACTTGCCGGGTGCAGGTCCGTGAACGCGCGTGCCCGGACCGTGACAGCCACTGAAAGTGCCGGACTCTGGGCCTGGAGGGGAGGGGAAACGGAGGAGAGGGCCCGGGGGAGGGGGACTCCCCATCCCCGCCCGCCCACTCTCCGTCTTGAATGGAGCGCTGGGGGAGGGGCAGCCCCTGGAGGGCGCTGTTGTCCGGGTGGCCCATCCCCCCTCCCGGCCGGGGAATCCCCCTCTCCCTTTTCGCTGGGAGGCCCACGCCGACCCCAGCTCGCCGGAAGGCAGGGAAGAGGCGCCCCTCACTCAGCTGGCCGGAACCCCTCCCGTCCCTTCTCCCCCCATCCGAGCACCCTTTAATCCGAAATAATCCCAGCCCTAGGCTGCAACAAGGCTTTTTATCCCCATATCAGCGTGGGTTGGGAAGGAGAAAAGTGTGCGCACCAGGTCCCCCGAACTCAGTGGAACCCTTTAGGCCCCGGCCGAGGCTGGAGGCGGGGCCGGGGGGGGCGGAAAAACAAGGAAAGGCTAGGGGCAGCCCAGACTGCTGTGACAAGCAAAGCCCCCCTGGGCGCCTCCACGATCCCCGCCTCCTGGGCACTGGGCCGGCTCAGGTCGCTGGTTTGACATTAGCGACACTCAGCGGCCGCGGAGAGACGGCGCCCGAGGCCGGGTCCCAGTGTCTCCGGTGATTCCGGGGATGGGAGATGCACGTAGGCAGGTTCCTACCCGAGGGTTGGTGGAGAAGGGGGCGGGGGCAGAAAACGCCCTCCCTACCCCCTAGGCAGGGCCACCATCACGCCCACCTCCGAACTCACTGGAGGCCAGGGTTACAGCCCTCTCTTTTAGGCCTCCTAGAATAGAAAGCCTTGTCACCCTTAACCTGTGAAAGTCGCATCGGGTCAGACACTACTACTCAGGTCCTTCATCGCCAGGGGCCAGGAGCAGAGTTCAGGCCCCGCCCCCTGCAGTGAGTCCTTACTGATGTCACTGCGGTGTGGCTAGGGGACAATCCTCTCAGTCTCGTCAAACGCCCACCGCGGGCTAGCGAAAGATGCCAAGGGCTTGTGGTCGCAGCGACCACTCGCCTGGCGGCCGGAGGCGCCTAAGAGAAACTCCAGTGGATGAGGCCAGGTCGCGGTGGGGACTCTCGGAGCTTCGGAACTCGCGCTCAGGGACCTTTAAGGCGGGCTCGGTTGCCAGGGCCGCCGCGGGGGTTACTAAGGATGTGACGTCAGCGCGCCCTGGCGTGCGCGCGCAAGCGGAAGCGGAAGGGGCGGGGTGCTGCGGGCTGAGTCTTCAGTGTTGCTGCCGCCTCCTCTACCGCCGCTACCGGAGAGGCAGCGGGCCGGGCCGCCGAGGCAAGATGGTGGACTACAGCGTGTGGGACCACATCGAGGTGTCCGACGATGAGGACGAGACGCACCCCAACATAGACACGGCCAGCCTCTTCCGCTGGCGGCACCAGGTAGAGCATGCGCGCCCCATCCTTCACCCCGCTCACGGGACCCCGAATATTGCAAAAGTTCTGCTCCCTTATGCTGCCCGGTGTTCCTGCCGGGACGCTTAGGGTTCTTGCCCCACACTGTAGACTTACAGGTCTCTCTATTCAGCTCCGGGACCCCAGTAGTGCCGGGATCCCGCGATCTCCGGGCCCCTCCTCGGTTCTCTGCGTGGAACTTCCCTTTGGAACCTTAGGGCTTCATCAGAATCTGTATTTCCAAACTGAGCCTGGGGTGTCCCCCGGTTCTATGTGGACCTTTCATTTCCACCCAGAACTCCGCCTCAGAGTCTCGACCCCGAATTCTGCTAGATGATCCCCGATCTTATTCAGGTACCTACTTCTGATTTGGGGTCCTCCATCAACCTTTCTTCAACCCCTATGTTCAGAATCCTCGGTATTGTTTTTTCTTCCTTTTAAGACAGTTGCTGTTTAGGCCTGAGACTCCTGATCCCTCCTGCCTCAGCCTTCTGAGTGCTGGAATCACGGGTATGCACAGTGCACTACCACACACGGCACGAGATTTTGATTCTGTTATGTGCTGTGCTTCTCGGAGTTTTGAACCAAGATTCTCATTGAGATCCAAGATTCTCATTGAGAACCTGAGCCTCTACCTGAGGCTGTTCCTGCCCTGGGACCCACTTCCTACCGTGTAGACCTACGCCCCATCAGCTCCAAATGCCTACCTAAAATTTGGGGGTTTTGGAACCAGGCCACCCTTTGTATATCAACTACCAGCTCTGCCCTGAGGGAGCGCCCATTGCCGGCCACTCACCTTAGATGCACCTCCAGGAGTTCCTGTCTGCCCTTACACGAGGAGATCGCCCCCACTTGGCTTCCTGCCCAGCCAGCGCCTTGGGCTTACTGTCTATTACAGACCCCATCACTACCCCCGACATACTGTCTTCTGGGTGAACCTTCAACAGCAATGGAAACCCTCAGCCAGCCAAAGTCCTGGACCCCAAACACTCACCCTGGCACCTTCTGTCCGCAGCTTTCTCTGCTGCTGTCAATCAGGGAACCTCTTGGCCCTATTACAGATTCACCACCCTCATTACCTCCCCTCCTTTTTTTTTTTCCTGGTACGGGATTTGAACCCAGGGCCTTGAGCTTGCCTGACAAGCGCTGTGCTGCTGAGCTATATCCCCAGCTTGTCACTACCTGTTTCTAAAAACCTGCCTACATCTGAACCCCCTCCTTCCCAGTCCAGACCCTGGAACCCCAGGCCTGGGTGACCTATCTTCTGTCCCACCTCTTCCAGCCCAGTAGTGCCTACAGGTCTCACGGCCTAAGTTCCTGACCCCCTAAATCAGAGCTCCTGTGCCCGCACCCTGAGGCCTGCCTCTCCGGCTGAGGCCATGGCCTTATCAGAGTCTTCCAGTTAGGAATTCCCGCCACCCCACCCTTCCATGGGAACCTAACCCGTTAGTCATCTAGAGTCTTCTAGAAGGCCTTTCCCCCATCCTTGACGTGCCTGTAGCTCCTACCTGTGGCCCTGTGTCCCACCTCGGCACCCATTCCTGAAATTCCTGCCCCCTTGTTAGAACCTGCCGAGCAAGCCATGGGAGAGTAGGAAGGAAGCTCCAGCACTTGTATTTTTTGCGTGTGTAACATTTTATTATGCAATATTTAAGGCCGCCACAGAGCTCTAAAAGTTATCCAATGACACCTACTTGTGTCACACAGAGGGGTTAATCTTAATACCTAGTGCGGGACATGTTGGGCCTCCCACGTGGCAGGCTGCCCCTTCTCCTGGCACAGAGCCCTTTCCGGCCCCACTGCCCTGCACACTGTCGGCAGGAGGGAGGCAGGGGCCTCGGGGCCAGCCTGCCCTTCCTGCCGCGGGCTGAGGGAAGTGGGAGGCGTGGCCCCGGCCCTGCAAACCCCCCTGAGGGTCTCAGTGAGGGTGGGTGGCTCTCAGTGGTGATATGCCCACCTGACACGCATGGGTCCCTGGGTTCCAAAGGAAGGTCTGAAACGGGCCAGGCGAGGGGCAGGCACCTGGAATCCCAGCGGTCATGAGGCTGAGGCAGGAAAAGGCTGTGCGTTTGAGGCCAGCCTGAACTACATAGTGAGACCCCGTGTCATACTTTTTAAAAAGGGTAAATGACCCTAGGTCTGAAAAGAACTTGGACCAGGACTTAGGGGGCAGTTAGTAGTAGTCTCAAGATGGGGTAGTAGGAATTAGGTAAAAGATGGTCATCAGAGTCGCACAGGTCTGACGCCCTGCTGGGGTCAGAGTCCTTCTCCTTGACTGTCCCTGCTTTGCTGTGTGACGTCCAGCAGCTTGTTTGACCCCTCTGTGCTTCCGTTTCCCCAGCTGAGAACGTGAATAGGATTCATCCACCTTACAGGGTCGCAGTCAGGGTTACCTCGGTTATTTAAGGTTGAGAATGCTCCTGGGGTGGTAGCTGTTGTTATTATTTAGTAATGCTTGTTGGTGTTTTTAAAAAACAATTCAGCCTGTGACCCCGCCACTGAGGGAGGCCGGCCAGGAAGGAGACAGTTGGGCCTGAGTCCCTTCCCAGCCCCGCCGCCCAGCTTATTGTCCAGAGACAGTTGCTGTCAATGGTTTCTTGGGGTCCTGCTTCGAGCCTCAGTTTCCCTATCTGTGAGAAGTGCCACCTGTGGAACCTTCTTGCTGGCCTGGCGTCTGCCTGCCTCTGCCTCTGCTTGCCACAGCCCCTTATATAGGAGGTGTAAGCGCCCAGGCTGGGCAGGTGCCCCCCCCCCCCATTGCAGGAGGCCTTTTTTAGCTTTGGAGTCCCTGGCAGCCACTCAGAGGACACTGGGGAGGGTGGCGGCAGCCCCAGAAGCCAGCGGGGTGGCAGATTCCTGCCACTGCCTGGGGTCACATAATGCCGACCCCAGTTACTTGGGAGGCTGAGGCAGGAGGATCAAAAACTCAAGGCAGAGCATCCCATAGGCCCAGGGTGGCACAGATCCACTGGGGGCAATAGACCTTAGTGTCACCCACCCTGTGCCTGGCTCCTGCTTTCTGGGCATGCGGCCTCCCAGTGGGTCCAGAGGTGAGTCAGCGGGCCACTCTGACAAGGACAGGTGATTGTAATGGGACACCCAGCGCTGTGTCACAGGGAGTGCGCCCAGCAGCCCAGAAGGCCCCGTTTTACAGAGCGGAAAAGCAAGGTCTAGAGATGTCCTGGCAGGGGCAGGGTGGGGGTGCGACAGATGGGTGGCAGCCACTGTCAGGTCACCAGCTGTGTCCTCCCAGCCGGAGACTAATGGAAGCACTTTAAGCCTCAGAGCAGTTCCAGAGAGAGACTGACTGTCCCCTGGCAGCAGCACAGGAGTGTCACTGCTCGGAGGTCCAGCACAGCCCGAGTGTTTTGCATTAGCAATCATCTCCGCCACCTCAGTGCGTGCAGACAGCCCCCCGACTCTCCAGGGTCCCTGTCTGGTCTTTTCCCTTGTGAGCGGAGCCCAGGGAGCGCTGACCTACACTGCCAGCCGTATTCAGATTTTGAGACAGGGTTTGATTCAGTCACTTCGGCTGTGCTCAAACTTGTGATTGTCCTGCCTCAGCCTTCCAGAGCGTTGGGGTTGCAGGTGCGCACCTGAGCTTCATTTTGATGGGAATCTGCCTACCGCAGGCAGAGGTGGCCTCAGTATATCCTGAGGGCTTCAGTGAAAGGTAGCACCTAGAACCGGGGACATAGGGCGCTGTGCAGTGTCTCACACAAGGCCCCGCCTTCATGGAGCAAACATCCCTGGAGGGGAGCAGTGCCAGAAATATAACAAATACGTGCCCCGAGATGTTAGGAGGTGGCCAGGAGTGAGAAAGACACAGCAGGGCAAGAGCGGAAGGGCAAACACCCATAATCCTCGTACTCTAGGAGGCTGAGGCAGGAGGATCCCGAGTATAAGCCAGCCTGGATGGGCAAGATAGCAATTCGGTGAGGCCCTGGGTTTAATCCACAGTTCTGGGCAGAAGTGTGGGGCCTTGTGTGCCAGGATGAGGACCCGGGCTTTGCCCTGAATGAGGTGGACACCGCAGAGGCAGCACCTGTGCCGCCCCAGGGGATGCCGGGGCCCCGGGGCGAGGGAGGAAGTCGGGAGAGCCTGGCGGAGTTGGGTGCGTAATGCCGCCCCGGCCCCGCCGCAGGCTCGCGTGGAGCGCATGGAGCAGTTCCAGAAGGAGAAGGAGGAGCTGGACAGGGGCTGTCGCGAGTGCAAGCGCAAAGTGGCCGAGTGCCAGCGCAAGCTGAAGGAGCTGGAGGTGGCCGAGGGCGGCCAGGCGGAGCTGGAGCGGTTGCAGGCCGAGGCGCAGCAGCTGCGCAAGGAGGAGCGCAGCTGGGAGCAGAAGCTGGAGGAGATGCGCAAGAAGGAGAAGAGCATGCCCTGGAACGTGGACACACTCAGCAAGGACGGCTTCAGCAAGGTGCGCGCCGCCTGGGCCGGTGCCCGCGCCCGCCCGCCGAGAGGGGCGCCGGAGGCCAGCACGCATGCGCAGCCAGCCTGCAGGGGTTGGGTTGGGGAGCGGGCGGGGTGTGCTCAGAGGCAGACCGCCGAGCTGGCCTCTAGATTCTCCGGTGCACCGCCGGAAAATAGAAATAACTGGACATAGTGGTGCGTGCCTGTAATCCCAGCGCTCTAGGAGGCTGAGGCAGGAGGATCCCCAGTTTGAACCCAGTTTGAGTGACTCAGTAACTTAGCAGGCT